TTCAAATCTAAACAGACTATACATAATTGATACTGCATTGGCAGTGGTGTACAAGCACAAACAGTACATAACGTATGTACTCTGATGAAGGACCATTGCCCGAAACGTTACCTATAATTTGCCATTCTTTTGTTGGCAGTGTTATCGACGATTGCGTTGAGTTGTTTTGTTGTTGGTGTCTGTGCACCCCTGCCAGAGCAGCATCACCATGTCATTTGGCAGTGAGAAGGTAGAGGGAATGTTGTTTCTGCAGACCTCGTTGACTTCATAGGTCATTCTTTCAGCAGCAGGCTTTTGCCTAGCCATCGTACAAAGACGGTCACTGCATCGCGCGCTTTCAGATGCGCTTCCGCGGCCGTCTGGAATGCTCTTCCTTCCAATATTACGAAGCCATTGAAGCTATGCACTTTTGAATCTAGATTGAAAACCATTTCTTTAAAACTGCTTTTTTTGTTTCGATTGTTGTCCTTCCCCCGCACCTCCGATTAGCACGCTTGGCTACATATGGTACGAAAGAAGTTCAACATACATACATACACACATACAAAGACAAATATCCCCCGTATAGCCTTAACAGACTGTTGGGGCAAATACTGTTCGCGAACGCCTATGAACGCCCGCACAACACACGAGTGGATGGGTGGCCAGCACCACGCCAGACCGCTCTCGTGGTGATGTTTACACACCGCCCCATGTACTAATTTGAGGCCGAGTCTACCTAGGGGAGTGCCAGGACCGGTTCTAGTGATCGTCCGTGAGCGGGAATCAATCTTGGGTCACCAGATTCGTAGCGCATCGCGCTCACCACCAAACCACCGCTCCCCATACATGCCTACATACACACATACCTGTGGCAACCAGGGCGGTGGGCCTTGCACCACCAAATGTTCCCATTTGCCCTCTCCCCCCCCATCCACCCCACCTCGCGATTCTTCTCCTTAGCTGTAAATCGCTGTTACATTGAACCCCCCCACTCAGCAGCTCTACTGGCCACCCCATGCATGAGGGGAGCCACGGTGGCAACATGTTAACTACCTCGCCTGTATGTGTGATATTCGATGCTCATTTAATAAACATACTCTCTTTCTGGCAGGTTATTTTTTTTTTACCAGGCCCAGTTCGGCCTAGCTTGTAGCAGTGCTGGTTTTGACCTAACATATTTAACTTCTGAGATTGTGTCTAATTGCGCTCACTGGTTTAATCAATTATGAAATACAGACTATATATACGTGGACAAATACATAGTCAAATAAAATAACTTCAGCCATTCTAAATTTTCCAATGGACAAAAGCCTCTCCATGCCGTGGCAGTCATTCGCCTTTTTTCTCACATGCTGGTCACATGGTGGCCAGGGATACCACGATTGCGAGACCTTAACTACCTCGCCAGGTATACAGGAGGTCGTGGATTCGATCCCGATCCTGATGCCCGCTGAATATTTGGAGTTTGTGTGTCTCTCTCCCTCCCCGTGGTCACGTGGATTTTTTTCCGAGCCCTCCAGTTTTTCCCACCACATTTAAAATCGACATCACGCATTTAGAGTATCTGGCTGCTGTTCATTTCCACGCGATAAGCGACGCCAATTTGTTGAGCTACCATTGGTGGCCCCAGGTCGCCTCTGAAAAAAGAGCTATACAGCGCAGTGTGCTTTACCTGGTACAATAGATATGGTACATATATATCGCACTTTATATGAGTGTGTGAAACACCTCCTGAGATGATCACGTTCATCAAAAGCAGAGGGTCGAATGAGAAAAGTGGATGACGTGAAGTTCCGCCCTGTATAATACGGTTGGAGGGCACTTCACGTGGCCTTAAAGTGCACATCGCCTGGCCTTAAGTGCCGTTGTGATGTCATCACCTCTTGGTGGCGAATGGCAGTTGCTGTTGTTGTTGGACAGGTAAACTGTTCCCACGTTTGGCTTTATTGAAACTGGAGGGTGGGGCATAAACCTGCATTGACACTTTTGCATTTTAGACTCTGGTCAAGGTAGAAAAATCTAGAAGACTCGCTCAAATGCAGATAATGGCGCTTTATGGCATGGCAAAGTACCCGGCTGTTGTGGTTGGCAGGACCAAAATAACCTATTCAATATACCTAATGGTACCTCTGATTAAAATGAGGTTGTGCATGCTGTATCCATAGATGTTATCTTAATTAAAATGTGTCAGTCTTTGAAAACAGCTTTATAGATATATAAAAGTCTACACACAACCAGTGCCGCATCTAACGCACCGAGAATTCGCACCAATGCTGGCATTTACATCTCCAAAGTGAAACCGTGTCATTTCGGTTTTATTCTACAAGGGGCATATTTTACTCTTACATTTGGCAATATGTTTTGTGTTCAGGAGCTAAATGCCAATGTCGGGGTCTGTTAGCCACGACTGGGGGTCTTCAGAAGAGACGTTGTGGAGCCTTGCTCTTCATCCGTTCAAGGAGCGCAGACGTTACATGGTCAATGACACTGCCTTTTACGGAAACAAACAAAATATATACAATCGGCCACATTGGGCAGTGCCCGCAAACATAAGTGCTATGAAGAAGGGCTCCAGTATTCTTGACGAATGCGTTGTGTTTTTTTTTTGTATAGCACGTTGGTTATTCCAGGGACAATGGGAGACAGCTACCGCTATGTTCGAGGTGCCACAACAACACTCTCGTTCTTGCACGCCTTGTCAATCGTTATCCACGAGCCACGGTCAAGCCTTGTGCGATGTCCCGCTGTCAAGGCACAATGCTTGCGCAACAACTCGCCGTGCAGTGACGCGCTTATCTGCGACGTGACTCATGGGGGACCGTAGCCCAGCGGGCACGCCCTTCGGGTCAATGGGAGGTCAACGTAACATTTTTTTTTGTCAACACACGTTCGCCATAACCTTGGGTCAATGCACGTTTACCATAACGTTGGGTCAACGAGAGGACACAATTGCAGCATGGAAGTGCATCGATGCAGCACCGATGTCAAGCCCACTTACTCAACAAGCTCCACCCTCCTTTTGCTCGGCCCATGTTTAGCTCACCTCACCATGGTTATCACCAACCTTCCACTGCTCACTGTCTCACACTCTTGCCCACCTTTTCCACTCGGCTGACTTGTCTGTCCGTCAATTTCAACACGTCGGATTTTTGCCGACCAATGTCATTCATGAAAACAAGGTGTTTTGGTTAGATCGCTTTTTTATAATTCACACATTAATTTGTGTGTGATCTAACCCAAAAGCCTTCATTTTGAATTGAAATTGTTGATTGTTGTACAACCCTGAGAACCCAGTGTATATAGGTGGGACTAAAACCCGATCTCGAACCCAGGATCTCAACTGTGCCATCTCAGAGCTCTGACTCCTGAACCACTGCGTCAACTGTAGCCTTAATATTTAATAAAAAAAAACATACATAGTTTAATTACCAGGGTACAAATTGTCTTTGCAGGGCAACATGAACATCTCCTAACTTCACCACACACACGCCTTGTAGGACTGAGTCTTTGAGCTGCATTTAACCAATGATTATGCCGATTACATGTACTAATGTCTGACATTGCTGTTGTTCACAATTGCACCGAATAAAAAATGTAAATTGAAAGTTGTAACACCTACAGTAAAACTTAGGCTGTTCAAAATACTGCAGGGATGGTTATGTTACATCACCTTCCGATGGTTCTGTCAATTCGTGAGCAATACTGCCTGAAGCTAATAGTTGTCCATCCGTTTTATTTCCCCCCGCATCCCCCCCCCCCCACCACCAAATATATTCCAGTTAATCTTGGTGTCAGGTTATGAGATGATGACATTTCCATTCGGAAACTCTTGTGACCCAGCGGTGCCTCACTGTGTTGGAGGACAGATGACAGTCGTCTTTGTGACGTAGCTGCCATCGTTCGACATCTGGAAGTTATTCCTGGTGTGTGAAAATGTACCAGTGTCTGTTACTTGCACTAAAGACAATGCATGTGTATTGTTGTTCTCCCAGGTTTGGTTAATTATTCATATTTCCATAATATGGCCCAGTTTCCGTACGTGATAGGTGGCGACCCTAAATTAAGGCAACTCAGAAGTGAGTTTAACACCGAGGCTTTCGCGATCAATATCATCCATAATAGAGTTTTTGTTGGGTTAGATCGCGTAAATATATAAATGTGTCGTTAAAACCCGCCACCACCCGACACAACCAACCAGTAGGCGTTGTCACGTGAACAGAATTGGCATGTTCTGTTTACTTTGTTATAAAATTTGAGATTCGTAGTTTTTTGTTGTTTAAATAGGCTTCGAATGGAATGTTATTTTTTATGCAAGAATACTGAAGCAAAGAGAACAGTTTGTGTCACTTAGGGGCCGTCCATAAATGACGTCACGCGATTTTGGACGAATTTCCCCCCCCCCCCCCGCTCGCGACACGGCGTCACAAAAAGTCAGACCCCCCCTCAAATATGACGTCACAAAGCTCTGCCCACCCCCCCCCCGCTCAAAAAAACATATTTCCATTTTGAAAATAAAACATGCTTCAAATCGATTTAAACTATTGTCATTGTAGTACGTATTAATGTTGTGCTGCACTCTGATGTTGTAGGAGTGTTGTTCTAACAATTCTATATTTATTTAAAGTTTCGCATTTTGATGTGACGTCACATTTCTCAACCCCCCCCCCCCTCGTCACACATCGTCACAAACGTCTGACCCTCCCCCCCCCATAGGTGCGTGACGTCATTTATGGACGGCCCCTTATGACAAGCCTTGTAAGTGTTTAATCCATGCCCTGTACAATGTGTGCGAATGCACGTACAGAGTGCCGGGCGAGTATAACACACGGTGAGCTGGATCAGTGTCGGAGCACAGGTGGCACGTCTGCCAGTCATGTCGGTCAGTCGACCTGCACCACCTGGGTCTGTCCCATTACGCCTGGTGAGCAGCGAGCCTAAGACACCTCCTCACGTCCCGCGCCACTACGGCGACGCTCTCCGTCACTGTATGTAGGCATCGCGAGCGCACGGTTCCTCACCCGGCTGCTGAACGAACATCACCACGATGAGCGCCACGGCGGCCACCATGAAGAGGACGCTGATCGTGATGAGAATGACCTCGAGGCCGCTGAAGCGTCGCCCCATGGTGACGGCTCTGCAGGATCAGCTGCTGCTGCTGCTGCTGCCAAACAGAGCGCGGGGCGCACGGCACGCGCGGGTTGTCACAGAGCAGCACAGGCACTTCCGTCCGCCCGCATCACTGCGATGACACCGACGTTCGCAATGAATGGTCCTAGATCCGTGGATCGGCGATGACGGCCTGTGGAGTAGAGTTGTCGCGGTCTTTCTTCCCAATGGATCAGACGCATATGCATTGAATGTGTTTGGCAACGCACCGCTGTGCAGTGGGCTTCAAATGTAATATTTACTTCAACACGGTGGTTCATGCAGAGCCACTGGTGGTAAAAGTGGTTAACGCGCTGCAATCTGAATCCAGTGAACCGAGTTCAACTATCGGCTCACATCAGTGGCAAGTGAAAGCAGAACTGGTGCTGGTTCTCCCAGCCCTGTGGCCAACCTGAACGAAACTAAATCTCAACTATTTTGTTTTATCTTCTTTGGTTCTTTCGGTAAAGTCACGTAGAATGAGAATAAAATAATAAATTCTACGTGACTTTACCGAAAGAACCAAAGAAGATGAATCATTGCAGTCACGAAAGCTTTAAATCGAAAATATTTTGTTTTATTTCACCAGGTAAGGCCCACTGAGCTATTTAGCTCTTCTTCAGAAGCCACCTGACCACAAATAATAGCTCAACGAAGTGGCTTATCACGTGGAAATGTATAGCAGCCGAAAACTCTAAACGCATACTGATTCTAAATGTGGAGGGGAAAACCGGAGGACACGGAGAAAAATCCATGCGGCCACGGGGACAGCATGCAAACACCAAATATACAGCAGGTGTCAGGGTCGGTATCGAACCCACGACCTCCTGTATACCATACGAGGTAGTTTACATCTGGCCATCATGGCACCCCTGACCAACATGTGACCAGCGTGTGAGGAAAGAAAAAAGCAATGGCCGCCACGGCATGGAGAGGCTTTCGTTCATCGTTGAATTTAGAATGGCCGAAGTTATTTTATTTTACTACAGTATGTATTTTTACACGTGTATATATATAGGCTTCAATTCATAATTGAGCCAACCAGTGAGCACAATCAGACAAATGTTAGAAGTTAAATATGTTAGGTCAAAACCAACACTGTTGAAATCTAGGCCAAGCTGGGCCTAAAAAAAAAAAAGTCATCTAGAGATCGTGTTTATTAAATGAGAAGAGTATCTTACGCATACATACATATATGTAGCTCCTGGCACATGTGAGCTAATTACACAGCAGGAAAGCAAACTAGGTCTCACCTGGTGGAGCGTTTTCACATTTATCCAGCCCATGGCCTGCTGTGTTTGTAGTTGCACCTCAATTCAAAATTTCCCATGAATCCATAACGACGTTTGCTCGTTTTTACTGCTTCGTTGGTATTGAGATCTCATTGAAATTAAGTGTTGTGCATAACACGTGTTCATGCATATGGAGTGTTCAAAAAGGCACGTGTCCACGTCGGAGATGTGCCCCCGAAGTTTTTAACGATGGCGGAAAAAAATGTAAATCGGGTCTCGGTGTAAAATTTTAGACGATCCGAAATTGGTTTGGCTTGATTTGAAAATGCAATTAATGAAATCACTGATACGGTTTCACTTTCGTGATTGCCCCGCTAATAGTGCTGCCACACGACGTAATATTTATGACACGTGACGTCACTTTTGCTAATTATGAAAATCGAAAAATGTTTTAATTTTCGTAGAAACTATAAACATTTGGAGTCAAATCTTAACGTGGGCCTAAATAACTGATATCTGAAGAAAAAAAAATCTGAAACTCATCCTGAATCAATGTGTATATACATATGGACAATACTATAAAAAAATATTTTTTAAATAAGTATACAAATGCGGTATAAATGTTCGCACATTATGCTGAAATCCCACCAACACAGGTTAAATGCCCAGCCATTCACATCACTGGTGGGTCGATTCACATCTGGAACGCTATCAGGCCTCCCCTGGTTCAAGCCTGCCTTCAATTGTTTGCCTGGTCCGGTGTGAGAGACAAAACAGCTGTGCTAGCCCTTCCACGTGAATCAAATGACTTACAGGCAAATAGTGAATATCTTTATGAGATTCGTATTGAGAACAATTACAAGTAATCCGAAATGTAATAATCATTGACTTATAGTTGTGGGTAGCTGGATGCCTCGCGGGGGATTTGTGTTTTATCAGTACCCTGAGTCATCGCTCATCATGTGTGAGAAATGTTCGGCACCCTGGGATTTATCTTTTTTGGGGTGTGTGTGATTTTTTCATTTTGAGGATTATTAACAATTAGTTTGGAAACTTTGTCTTCATATTTATTCTTCCCATTTTTTTGGTTTTCTTTCTATACCGATATATTTCGTCCCATACATTCTCCGCGAGATTTCGGACGCTGCCATTATGTGACGGTGAGCACACTGAAATCGCACAACCTATAGATCGGCCGGTTGGATCCCCCTAAGCTCAGCTGTTGAATCAATGGGGCAAGTTTCTTAAATTCCCCTTGGCTTTTGTCCACCCGGTATTGTAAAAGGGGAACGTCGCAGTTCGTCGATCGGCAGGTCGCGTGTCGTGGGGTAAAGTGTGCGAACTCACTCCAGCGGAGGCCCCATCTGCCAGTAGTCGTGTAAGCAGGAAATTGCAGGGCCGCTCCTTTAGCCTTTACATCCTTTGTTTGTGCCCAGGTGTCCCCTTGTGCAGGAATATGTTGGCCCAAAGGGCTCTCTCAACTGATTACAAAGTTCAGGTACGTACATGTGTTAATAGGCGTTCATTAACCTCATTTGCCCCTTGAGTCCATTAGACTAAATAGGGTGCCTCTTTGCGTACATCGCAGGACACGAGCTTGGAGTGCGTATTTATGTGTGCGCTTGCATATATTAACAACGAATGATGATGAACACTAATCAGACGCATAAACGTGTCTCGGTTTAATAACGACCGTGCAGATAACTCAGGGGTCCTTTTTTTTTTCTCTTCACCTCATAGCCCGGGACACGCTTAACGTGATTTCCTCCGCCGTGTTTCGGGAGAAGCCGTGGCGGCCATGGCTTGGGAGGAATACCGTGCCCATAAAAAAAAAAAACACGGTCGCTCCTCGTGATTCCCGGTGACATGTCAGCCTGGCAATCCAATCACGTGTCCGCACGGGGTGACATCCCTCTCAAACCGAAAAGTTCCCGGTGAGTATTATTTAACATCGGCTTACCAAGTACGCTGAGCAGTTCGCAAGGCTCTGTCTGGTTAGTACGGTTGGCTATGTAAGGTGTGAAAGAAGTTCAGCATACATACTACTATTAAACTACTATCCATTTTTTTAAATTCATTTTAACCAGGTAAGCCTCACTGAGCTATATAACTTTTTTCAGAAGCGACCTGGCGACAAATGATAGCTCAACGAAGTGGCTTATCACGTGGAAATGTATAGCAGCATCTCGTTTTGGAGTCTTTTCAAGGGCACTGGGGGCTTATGTAATGTCGTAGCTGCAAATAATATCTGTTTACTGGCTTCAAAGTCCTCTGGGCCTTTGGTCTGACTGATACAGATAATATACACGCTGCTGATGCGTCCACACCAAACGCTCGGACACCTCGGGTGACCCAGAAATAACAAAAGTGCCTCTCAATATATAAAATCATATGCAAGCAAAAACTCTATCCATAATACTTTTAGAGAGTGAAATTGGATATATAATGCAAGACCTTATTCTTGGGTCTTTCGGTAGGTTTAAAGAAAATAACAAAAAAAACTACGACGTTTCGATCGTAACATAAGCGGTCGTCTTCTTGAAGATGACGAATATGAATTCCTGCATTCACGAAAGCTTTAAGTCAACGCAGGACCTTCTTGAACAAGTAAACCTGAAACTCAGGGAAGGATTTCATGTGCAGCAACAACAACAACCGCCATTCACCACTAAGTGGCGGTGAGGTCACCATGGCTTTTGTGCCAGGCTATGTGCCCTTTAAGGCCACGTGAAATGTCGAAAGTGCGCTGGCAGGAGGTCACAGAACAGACCCAGGTGCCATGGGTTGACTGACAGAGATGACTGGCCGATGCACTACCTGTGCCCTCTACTGTGCCAACTTGCTGTGTATTAGCCACCCGGCACTCTGCTCGTTGTTATGAGCATCGCTCCTCTGCCCTCCATTACTGCTGGAGGGCGATTGCCTCCCACTGCCCAGTAGTGTCATTTACGTCCGATCTTAACACTGCTGGCACCAGTCATTGGCAAATCCACTCAGCTCCATATCCTCTCGAACCACGTAATTCCATATCTTCTCTCACCCCACGTGACCTGCTGATTAAACTAATTGTGGTGTAACCATTTAACACTGCTGGGCGGACAGAGGTAGGAGTAGGTTTACACATTTTTAAACCTTTACATCGCTTCAACTGCTGCAGCGGTGATGGAACCGGTGACCTCTGGATCCCAAGTCCAGTGTGATAACCATTACAGTGTCCCCAATTATACTGTAACCGTAATTATATGGAATTAATCACGTGTAGCACCCTTCAATTTAAAACACAATCACTGCCCACCGAAATGCATTGATTGGCCAAAATAATAAGTACGCATACATTTTTATTCTGCTCATGAGATACGCTTTTGGGAACGACACACTTTTTGACCTATCCTATAAGTTTACGTTCAACTTAATTTCGTAAATTCAAACTATAAATTAGAAAAAAAAAAAGCTGCTGCAGTCTATAAACGTACTTGTGTGTGAAATGTAATTGGCATGCTTTCCAGTGCCATGTCAATGAATAATGCATGACGAGAGTGAGAGACTTCCGGTGCTATTTCGATAATTTAAGTTGGGCGCGGAGTTTGGTCTCCATAAATTCTAAATATTAGGAGACACACGCAAAAAAATATGAGGGAAGCAATTTTTTTTACATATTTCGTACTGAGTTTGGGCAACAAAGACGGAGCGATTAAATTAGCTTGTGTGTGGACAGTAGAGGCTACATGGATTGCTGTATTGCAGGATGGTGAAAGGTGAAGCAGCAATCATTCTATGGAAA